GAAGAGAGGGAGAGGAAGGCCCAAACAGACGTGGGTTAGGGAAGTCCGAAGTGATATGCTTCTTCTTGGGTTAGATGAGGGTATGACTTTGGAGAGAGCGGAGTGGAGGGCGGGTATTCGTGTGAAGGAGTGATCTCGTATTATCCCCCCCCCCCCCCCTTGTTTTTATCCTTATATATATAAACATTATTTTATCCTTTTTATTTTATCATTTTTAGGTATATTCATCTCTTTTTATATTATCCTTTTCATAATAGCTTATCTTTTTTATCTTTATTTTCTTTCTTTTCCTTTTGGTGGTGATATCATGTATCGATTCATGTTAGCCGACCCAAATATCTTTTGGGACTAAGGCTTGGATGTTGTTGTTGTCTATTCATTGGTGTAGTGCTCATAATTTAATTGTTGTAACTCTTAGATTTAGAAACCATTTGCCTGTGTTTTCGAACAAATTTGTGGACATATTATAGAAGTGTGGGAGATGGAAAAAGTTTGCAACGTGTTAGTTTTGTTTCATAACGCTACTCAAACTTTTCTCATGTTTATCAACCTACTGGTAACATATTTTTTTTATAGAAGCTGCTAATCTCGCCGGTGGTTTCAAAAAACTTCAAGAGGCTGATGATGTTCATTATTTTTGCGATTTCATGAAAGAATATTTTTATAATATTATACGTACATTGCACTTATATTTTATTGCTTTTAATCTTGATCCTCGTTTCAAACTTCCTAGTTATAAAACATTTTAGGGTACTATTATAGTTGTTTCTACGGCGAATTGCTTATGTACGACAACCACATGATTGATGTTCAAGTGCAATTCAACGAGATTATTAAACGTTTCATATTTATTTATGTACAGTACGCAAACATACCCCCTCCCCCTAAACAACTTGTTTCCTTATCTAAAGGAAAGTCTATTTAAATCAACAATATCAAATCTTGTCAAATAAACTAGGGAAAAGGTGCAAATAGGCTCATATACTAACCAAAAAGGTCAAATAAGCCCTTATTTAGGAGGCTTTGTCCGGCCGTCGCCATTTGGAGTGGTTCCCGGTGGAATTTTTTTATGAAATTTTTTGAGCATTTTATTCATCAAGTCTAGTTTGCTCATACCAAATTTCAGCTAAAACTTCAATCGGGAAGGCATTCAAATGAATTCTTGAAAATAACTGCGCAGAAGCGCAGTTATTTTCAAGAATTCATTTGAATGCCTTCCCGATTGAAGTTTTAGCTGAAATTTGGTATGAGCAAACTAGACTTGATGAATAAGATGCTCAAAAACTTTCATAAAAAAATTCCACCGGGAACCACTCCAAATTGCGACGGCTGGACAAAGCTTCCTAAATAAGGACTTATTTGATCTTTTTTGGTTAGTACATGGGCCTATTTGCACCTTTTCCCAATAAACCAATCTAATCCTACTATTGTAGAAAGCTCGGTTAATGAGCTTTGTTTGTATCTAACGTTTCTATGTGAGTATGAAGTAGGGGAAGAGTTTGACAATCTCAAATGGTGGAAGGGGAAGTGATGTTTTCGATTTTATCAAGAATGGCGAAACAAGTCTTGTCCATGCCGGTTTCAACGATTGTCTTACAACAAGAATTTAGTCAAGTCAGCAATGTCCTAAACGAGGTTGAGTGTGCAATATCTTGAGACACTCGTATGATTCTCCACCAACGAACTCAAGAACTCAACATAGCACTACCTTACCAAGAAACGATGCCGAAAGCGGGAGTTCTAAAGAATAGGAGATTTTTTATAATCGAAATTTATGTCACACTTTTAAATGAGCAATTTTTTTTATAATTTTACAGGTCTTTAATGTTTCAAATAAGCTTTTTTAATGTGTAATTTTTTTGTATTAAACTACTAATACAATATTTTTAAATAATTAAACAACAAACCGGACCGTCCAGAACTGGATCCAGGACCGGACCGAGTCTAGGTCCATGCCTAACACCACTTATACTACGTACAACATAATAATACTTTTATGTATTTGAGTCTATATCAATTTCCTCTTTTATTCATATTTAAATATTTGAAACAGTCTCTTTTGATGTGTTTTTATAGACGTTCTATACGCTTGCGTATTTATATCCTTGTTCTACACTATTGAAACCCTACTATTTGTATTTAATCTTTGTGCAAAAATCAAATGTCCTAAACAACAAATATGGATGGAGTATGATTGTCCATATAACTTATGTTTATGGATAGAGAATATAAATATAATTTCAAGGTGGTGAGTAGTAACCTCGCAAAATCCAAAGCATAATGAACATATGAAACAATCTGAACCAAATTCTAATGACAATTTTTTACTCAACGTGACCATAGCCATGGACAAAATTGTCTTACAATTTTCTTCCCATGTTGATTGTGGTGACTTTATTTCCATCATTTCCAACGGAGCCACACTCACTATTTATTGGGTTAGAAATAGGATAAAATAAAACAAAATGACTCTCTATGCTTTAGTACAGGGATAAGGGATAAGGTTGTGTACTTCAAACTCCCTTACTTCACCATGAATGCCTTTGCAGAACTAGGGTAATGTTGTTGATTGTGGTGATTTTGCTAACGTTATGGGTTGTCGAAGCTGCCTAATCATGTCTATTCCCCTCAAGATTCTTGAGTCAAGAAGTAGATGACAACGTTCTGCTCTAAATTATTCAACACAAATGCTATTGCTACCCCAATTTGTACCCCATTTTGTACCCCTCCATATATTTGTGGTTCACAAAAGCAATTCATTAAAATCGAACAATTCATTTAATGTGTTGGACTTTTGTGAACCACAAATATAGGAAGGGTGTACAAATGAGGTACCAAATGAGGTACCTCTAGCTAGTGGTGGACTCGGGCCCGGTTTAGGCCTGGGCCCAGCCGGGCCTCGGGCCAGAAAATTGGGGCCCGAGCCCGAACCGCCGGTGGCCGGTTCCGGGCCAAACCGGGCCGGGCCGGGCCAAACCGGTCCTTTTTTTTTTTTTTTTGGTTCTCCTATTTAACCCCCTACCCCTCCCCCTCAACCCCAAACCACCCCAAACCACCTCAAATGGCCCAAAATACGTTAAATACCTAATCCAACCCAAAACTTAAAAAAATTTCAAAAAAAAAAAAAAATCCGGCCCGGACCGGGCCCGAACCGGCCGGGCCGGTTCGCCTAAAGCAGGGCCCGAGCCCGGACCGCCCATCACCCGGGCCGGGCCAAACCGAACTGCTGGACCCACCAGGCCCCGGGCCAGGCCGGGCCAAACAGTAACCGGGCCGGGCCGCCCGGCCCGAGTCCACTCCTACCTCTAGCACAACTCATTATTCAAAAGCCAATAGAAAGCTAGCATTTTTCACCAAGGAAGATTGAAATTAGAAATAGACTCAAGCTTCAAATTAATAATTTAATAGATAGAATGGATAGGAAAGAGACTGAGAGGAAGAGAGTAATGTAACAGCAAGAATCTAGGATAATCGTAATCCACTCCAGAACAATTCAATGGAAAACAAATAAAAAAGTTGATTGCGTTAAAAGTCAAAAGGGTAAAAACCAGGTAACTTATTAATCTAATCCAAGTCATTCTCCATTTATTATTTGCTCACCATTTTTACATGCACTATATTGCTCTTGAAAGCCATTAATGGGGGTCGAAAGCTTTTCTCTAGTTTGGGGAGTAGGGAGGATGACTGGATGAGGGGAAAGGATCCCTTCATACAAGGCATATTTCTCTATTAATACTACTAGTTACAAGTAGAACGGTAGAAGTCCAAAACTTCCTGGTCCCGGGCCAAATAATTCTAAAAATAGTTTTACAAAAAGTTCTTGGCAGACCAAAAAACGAATGAAGTGTCCGCGGACCGCGGGTGCATGAATCTAAAAAAGATTCCGGTTTTTTATTTTTAATTTCTATAAGTCCCCTCCCTCGTCGCTCTAGAATTATCTGTGAGCTTAGGGCATCCCTACTGTAATGGTGAACAATGTAGACTTAGAGAACGAGCCAAAATGCTGGTTAATTTACCAAACTCTGTAAATTGTAGTTAGGTAGAAGCCAAGTGAGCTTACATATTGAACTGCTTAATTTCAAAACAAACTACACGCTGGAATAAGTATCCACTTTTATCCCATGTTTAACTTACTAAGAATACCTTAAGCAATACAAACAAAAAGATTATTTGCACAGAACCACATAGATATCTCTGTGCAAATTATATTCACCGTAGAATAAGTAGAATGGGAAGGCAAACTCAAACTTTGAAACTTTGATAGACATGATGCATAGTTACAAACACAACTAAGATAACCAATCTGCATTAACAGTATGATGTAAAAAGTACGGAGTAAAACTAGTCATTCACTCGGTCTTCATGACCATTCATTATTCTTCAAGTAAAAAACAATTTTCTCACATAAAATTATGCATCAACCATGATGTTGATTCAAAATTAAAAAACTAGCATTCCAATCAAAAAGAAAATGTATTCCATTTGCTTTAAAAAGAAAATTAAGTATTCCAATGATTAAAATGAATTCTGACAAAATAATATCCATTTGCTTTAAAGAAAATGATCCATATATTTTAAACTTTTTAGTTTGATATTCAAGAGTCATCTGAATGGTCTTGGTTTTACTAAAGGATAGCCCAGTGCACAAAGCATCTCTGTTGAGCGGAGGGCTCAGGGAAAGGTATTCATCTTGAATGGTCTTGTTTATACTAAAGGATAGCCCACTGCACAGCACATCTCTGTTGAGCACTTGAGCTGAGGGTTCGGGTTAGGGCCCATTCTCGATTTGGAAGAGCCAGAACTGGTTTGGCCATACTCCCATCTGGAATAGAAAAACAGGTGCATGGTTTGATTTCTTTACCCACCTAGACCCGGCCCAATTCCAGATTCAGAACCAGGTCCACCAACCTCAACCAATGATTTCTTATTCTATTGCTACTATTATATCTGCTAGATTCACCTTGTCAAACATTGGATTTGATGCTTTTCGCATAGGAGATACAGTGTTAATTTCCTTGTATAAGTGATAGCTTAATGTAATGTATGTTGTATATCATCTACCATAAGGACGGTGTACAGAAGTGAATGATTTCTACTGTACCCTTGTTGTCAAAGGGTTCCTTTTCATAGTGGGTACAACGGAAAATTGTCAAGACCATTGCACAACGCACATAGTCCTTATGAAAGAATAGACAACACTGGATTTGTCAATTCTCTTTTGCCTCAGAATTAATCAAAACTAGCTGGATGGAATTCAAATTAACTAACAGACTTACCAATTTTTGTAACATGAACAAAGCTGATGGAAGAAGGTAAGAACATGGAACTTTCTGGTTTCACCTGTGTACCAAATAATCCTTTAAGGTCTGTGTAATTCTTTTTCAAACTTGACCAATCAGCCAATCCGACGGATAAGCTCTCCACTTCAGACAGTGTGGTCCAGATAAATTAATCAGTTATCTTCTGTTATCCCTTTTGTTATCTAGACTCAGTAGCCAGTGCTTCTTATAGCCCCACAGGTAGCTCGATTACAACCATGAACCTGATAAACTCCTTCACAGTGTGTAGATTCTGTCACTACGAACCGACAACGGCCACATGCAGCGAAGAATTCCAAGAGAGCTGCCCCAAAATTACCTTTATCTAACATACTCAACCTCAACCTCAAGAGTCTCTTCAGATATGTGAAGTTTACTAAATGGGACTGCACCGAAAACCAGCCGATCGTCTTTGATCTGATGAAAAAACAACAATATTAGTGAAATAGAAAGTGAAGCAATTAAGATGATCAACACAAAGGACCACACACACACACACATACTCAATAGGAAACTAATAAAATAGTACAGGGGACAACAAAATTAAAACTTCAAACAAGAATAAACAGCCACAGCCAAGATTCGTTCCTATGGATGGGTACTTCTTTGTGGTACATATTAAACCAAGGTGATATATGTGTGTGCATAGTGCATACACACACTCACACACACACACGCTTTTCAAAGATTTGGAGTTAACTTCTTCCTGAGATCACCCCCTCAATTTGAAATAGATCATCCATTTCCGATGGTATATGTCAATGTAGGTACTAGGTACTCAGCCTTTCAGGTCGAAAGTAGATACTTGAACCCCTCCATGCAAGAGAGCTGCTAAAGCAATAAGACTTGGCATGCATTGCTCTCAAGGTCCAACCGTCCAACACAGATGTGGTCCCAAAGAATTTCCAGCAGCCTATTACCCACCTCATATCATAGTTCGATAAGCACGGAATTTCTTTAAAACTCCCTCCGTCCCTATTTAGAAGTACCCCTTTGAATTACACACAATTTAAGAAAATGGCACTGTTTGGCACTGTGTTGACACTGATTGGCATTGTTTGGCACTATTTTGTTTACCAAATAAGGAAAGGGGACATTTTTAAGGGACAGACCGAAAAGGAAAGTGAGATGTTTATTTAGGGACAGAGGAAGTATGTTTCTGAGGTCTGCAGCCCTCTGATATTTATATCAATTTATCATCATATATAAATGGCCACATCTCCATATTCTTTAAAGCTAGCAGCCAAGCAGTGAGCTTATTCCCAAGAGTGTGCTGCCAGAAATACAAAGCAAAAGGCAAAACTGAATCCAGCCAGCCGAGCATCTATGCAGTTAAAGAATTAATTATTACTGCAGACCTCCATTACCAACATGATTCTCAAAGCAAATGGCACTCACTAACAAGTAAGTGAAGTAACAAGTAACAATGATAACAGCCAAACCATAACCAAAAAAACAATGAGGTCCAGCGACTTGAACTACTAGGATATCCCCTGATGTCATCAACTGAATCCCCGTTCTCCATTCTTTTGTGGCAAGCACCATAAACACACGCACACAAATGTATGCTTATTAAGACCCATCGCTGTAATGTCTCTTTTAAATCTTCAATCTAATTCATTTTTTGTCATCCCAGCCTTCTCTTTATCTTCAAGATTCCATCTTCGTACCAAGGCGCTTCTCACGACTGATATGCCCAAGCTAACGCAATCAGCTCTCTTACTTTAACTGCAATAGCAACTACACCTAGTACCCGCAAAAATCCTCATGCTGCACTGTATCTTTTCTAGTCCAATAAATGCATCTCTGTAACATATATTTTCTTTATTAAAAAGTTCTTCATTGCCCAGCATTTGGATCTGCATCGTGAAGCTGGTTTTGTAGCAATCTCATAAACCTTTCCTTCAATCTAGGGGTACACTTCTAACACAGTAATTATGCCACAATGACATCTTTGTAAATATCTGAATTCCTTCAGAAATAGATCTGAACTTTAAAAGATCTGCTATAAATAGCACTTTCCCATCCAATTTCCTTCACTTAGCTTTGTTTTTATCTTTGGTGGTACCAAATTTGCTCTGTGTACACAACTCTGGTTTACTTTTGCTTATCTTAAACCCATTATAAGTCCAACTTGTGTCTTCGTATTTCCAACTTAGTGTTTAATATCTTCACACTTTCATTCACTAACCCAACATTATCTGCAAATAACACATGCCACCACACGTCCACACCCCACCTTGGATATTTTCATTCATGTATAACGATTGCGAGTAGGAATGGACTCGGTGTTAGCCCCTAATGCAACTTAATCGTGATGAGGAAACATCATTCACTTGCCACAATGTATTCATACTTTCACCGTGTATTCACTTCTTAACCAGCAACATACTCAATAATGCCTACCATAGCCTTTAAGTTAGTGCACCGTTCTCCATAAATTTGAACTAAGTGCCAGCCAGCAGCTTCATCTCTATCTCTAACCTCTATGGTGATATATAGCATTTCCTTATGTAACTTGATATAGGTCAATCAAATATAGTCCATGTATTGTCCTATAAAGATGAACTATTAGGACCACAGTCATTTCTAGAAGCAAGAAATGTTCCAAAATCCAAATCATTGGGCTTTTGATATACAATGCCCTAAAAAAACCAAGTAATTTTATTCATCCAGCAGAAACATATTCATGAGACACCTATCTCTAACATTTTGTCCCAAATACACCTATAAATGTCCATCAGCCAGCCACATCCATTGATTATCAAAGGAGTTTTGAGTTTTGGCATTTCCAACATACTTCCAAGACTTTAACGCGTTAGATGAACCTGATCCGCGTAGACCAAGAAAGAGTGTTCTATGTTTGCTCCCATGCTTTCGAACCTCGACATTGGTAAGGACATAAAAATATGCCTTTTCTTTACACGTTCCTTCTAGATGTCTGTACTTCTTCACCCATACACACAAAATTCCACTAGGGCCTTTATGCAGTATTTACATGTCAAGAAAACAGATGGCATTAAAAGAAGATGGTGTGTTACAAGCCATATCATGAACATCATGCAAGGATTGAGAAGAAATAAAAACTTGAACAGATAATAAATCACTATCAATGTAAGCATATTCCTTAAAGGCTAAAACAGACCATTTGTTTACTAAAGAAAATGTCTACCTAAGATAAGCATACTTGGGGAAAAGGCAGAGAATAATAAAATGTATAATATTCTATTAAAAGGTTAGAAGACTACAAAGCCTGCATAACAGAAATGGGTACTTGCCTATGCCATCTGTAGGTAGCAGCCCATTGAATATCGTACGTCCATTTCCTTCCCTTCAGATGCTCTGGGACCATTTTGAATGCAAAAGAAGCAACTCATTGCAAATGAACACTGCCAGGATATCTTGACTCCAGCAATATACACAGTCATGTGTGAATTAGTAGATGAAACACCTTTCTCGTCCAAACAATTAATGCACAAGGCAGAAACATCCAGTTCTGAATATGTTAATTACGTATGAGGACCATCTCGTGTTGTGTTCCTTATCTTCAGGTGAACTTAGTAAGGGGACAACAATCAGCAATCAGCCTCCAGCTCTCTAAAGTTTGTTGTCATAATACTGAAGCAGTTTTACAGACTAAGAATAAATTTGGAGCCATCCCACACGAAACTACATGAGGAATAAACTCTTAATGTAACAACTTGTAAACTCCAAGTTTTCACATGTCAATTTTGTTCCCCAGTCACCAACTATTAATATTTCCTAGCTTCAACCACGCGAATGTCAGCATAGATGAGCATTTGGTAGAAAAGCAAATCACATCTCCATCTTTGCAAATTACTCACTTCATTCCACATTCAGAAGAAATCTTTGCAAAACTAGATAAGCCAGAGCACGCTCTGATGGGTATCCCTAACCCTTAAGTACAGAACTTCATCTTTGAAGTAAGGAAAATGATTCATTTATCTACAACATTATGTTGGATTCCATTAAACATAATGGTAGTCCTAATGTTTGTCCAGAACTTCATTTACGTGGTATAGGACAATTTAGTGATGACTTCATCTGCTTAAACTGGTAGGCAGTGGGAGAGAAAACACTTACAAGTCATAAATCCTGAATTTAGAAGTTTCGTATTAACCTGTAATGTGTAGCTCAAACTCCCTAAGAACAGTGGATCAAGCCTGAATATGTATCTAGATGAGTATATGTATATATATCCAGTATATCTGGTTAGAAAACATATTGACAGGTCCAGCTGTAGAATCAAGATAATATTGGTCCGCAGCGTCTAAAAAGGAACATTGCAAGCTTTCGCCTTTCATCAACCATTTGCGCATAAAAGAGCTTAATGTTATGTCCTACATGGCTATCTTTAACACGCAAGCCATCAGATATATGACCCTATGCCAGAAAAAGGTTTCAGCAGTCTCCTTAACAAATGCTTCTGAATTGCTAGGATTCAATCAGGATGCCATTCAAAGGAAAAGGCGAGCAACACTAATCCAGCAACAATAATTATTACACATAACTGACAACTTTAAAATAGTGCAAATTTTTTACTTTAAAAAGGCCCTAAAACTCTAAGAAAACTGAGCACGTTAGTGTATATAAATAACAGTAAATGCTTCTTAAGCATGGTTTCAGGCAAATAAGAGAACAACCATAACCCATTAGTACAGAAAGAGTAACGTTAAAGCTCCTACGCAATTAAACATAAAATTGTTTACGCACAAATTGAAGACATGAGATACTTCTGGCTCCTGCTTATACAGGACAGCAGATTAAAGGATGTGAATATTTTAACGGCGAGATGTTCTCGATTTCTCTGGTCCTCCCCGTGAAGCTGAGTCAGCACCATACAAATGACCCTTGTTGGAAGCACCCTGAAAATGATGCATGGATGCCAACATCCAACACAACCATCAGCAGTATATATAAGTACCTGAACTTGTCAAATGATGCAGGAAGTAAAACACAAATGTGGATAATAATCTGTATTTCCATACCAGATGAACACCATATCCCTCACCATAAGGTTCATGGAAATTGCGGTCAGAAGTGCTGAAATTCATTGCATAAGATCCACCTTTCACATCAAAATGTAGTGTGTTAACATACACAAGAAATGAGAAAATCCCTCAATAGGTTAACACTGTTTCCAATCACATTTTAATAAAAAAAACATATGATTACACTTGGTTACAAGACGATTAAAACCCTTCTGTAGAAAAAGGAACATATTCTTCATTTCTTCCATAGAAACAACAAGTTTAAATAATTACAACCTCTTCTTTCTTTTCTCTTTGTTCATGAGTTACAAATCGGATGGGTGTGGAATGGCTTATGTAAGCATTTCAATATCCAAAAAAATGCAGTTCCGTGTTATGTACCGAGATTCTTTGTGTCATGGGAATGAAATTTAAATGATAAGCGGGTAGGAGCTGTGGAAATTTGGGGTTTTCCTTCTCCAAAATTTCTTCTTGATTATTCTTCAATATTTTATTAGCATAGCAAAGTTCCCTTTTATAAGGGGATTACATGCATATGAATGCAGAAAATTACCTGTTTTTCCACCAAAGACACATCAAATACATGGGTTATAGTACTACACGAATCAAAGCTCTTCACATACTATGTAATTAATATTTCTCAGCAATCATTTGTTTATATCATCTCTTATCAATAATCAATGAGTTTAAAATTTCTTCAAACAAAATCAGTTAGCATATGGTTGTTGAAGCTTGAAACGGACAGAAGACATTAGGTCAAAGAACTGCAAATAAAATGAGGTGACCTATTTAAGGATTATAATTGCTCAGTTCAAGGACCCCAAAAATTGGGACCAAGATACAAAATCGAGGTGATGACATAATGTGACCCAAATAGGAGTAAAGGACCATGATGACTAAATGTACGCAGCTCAATGAATAAAAATTCATATATCCTGCTAAATTAATTGGTCTAAGGCTCTTCTGTTAGCACTTGTTTTTATGAGCACTGGGACTGTAAGCAGTGTAAACCATTTTAATAAAGAGATTGATATCAAAAGCTTACTGACATGCCCTCATTCAGAAAATTATACTACCAAAAGATATGTTCTCTGGTGTGGGACAAACTAAATGCCATTTTCAAAAATCTTCTCATGATAATCACTAGCCTATCTAATGCATCTAATATTCCACAACCCCAAGCATCACGAAGTTTCTAAAGTAAAGAAGAAAAGTTTAGTAAAACCTTAAAGATAAAGATAAAGGAAATAAACAGTTAACCTGCAGCCCAAGATCTACCCTCAGAATTTGCAAGTTCAGAACGCAGCTTTTCCACTTCCTGTGCCATTGATGCCATGTTTTTCTCCATCCCCTCTCTTTCCTCTAACAATTCCATTTTCACAGTCTTTTCATAATCAAGAGCAGATCTGCACGTCAAAGTGTATTTTTTTATTTACTTGATTGCACCAGATTTCTGATAACCATATAGTTTTATATTTTGTATAGAAACGAACTAAGTCTATTTCTAAGAAGTGGTGTTTGGTGCAACTAGACAGTCAGAGAAGGCAGAAACCTAGCATGAAAAAGCTCCTGACTTAAGCCATCAACTTCCACCCTCAAACTCGGAATCTGTTGGTTATCAGCTCTCAGTTTAGAAATATCTTTTGTCAATGTCTCCACCTGCTCATCGAGATCCTTCTTTATGTTATTCAGCCTGTGAACTTCTGTCCGGAGCTGTTTAGCGTCGTATTTTAGGGAGTCGAAGGCTCGAAGCTCAGCTTCCAACTTTAGACCCCTATCTATAATTTCCCTGGAACGAAGCTCATGTTCGGCCTGAATATCTGCTATAGCACGATTTAGGCGATGCAGATCATCCTTGGCAGCACCCAACTCCTGCTGTAGAGCGACGCGATCTTCAACCAGTCTCCGGTTTTCGCCCAAAAGTCGACGAATTTCAACATGTTGGATTTCAAGTTCTTCCTCTAATACAGCAGGATGAGGAGGCAAGGGTCGGCGCGGAGGACTACGAACAAGATGCCCTCCTACAATGTGACTGCGATGACGCTCAAATCCTTCCCGATGACTGCGGTTCCTTCCTGCCATCTATAGTATCACCAAAAGCAGCAGATAGACACCGCTGTCATAAATTTTTAGGTTAAAACCGAAAGCTTCAACGGATCAAGGATGGTGGTGATGATGAATAGGTTATAGCAATTTGACGATTACGGTGCAAATATCTATGTTAAAAAACAGGACGGAGAGCGACCAGGCCACACGACTGGGCCACGGGTCAACCCGGACCCGGTGGGTCAACCCGGTCAACGTCGTAAACCGGTCAATGATTATACGTCTATATAATAATAGTAAACATATAATTATATATAAAATTATAATAAAAATTAATTATTATTCATAATAATCAACTTACAATACTACTTATTAAGCATTTAATACACTCTTATAATATTTCAATGTATATTTTGATCTTATAAAAATATATAATGATATTTTTATTTTTATTGTACATCTATATTATAATTTGGCATGATGTTCATTCTTAAATAAATATATAAATATATTACGTAGTTTTTCTTTTTAAGGTATTGAAATTGCAATTTTATTGGTATAAAAAATGCATTAAAAATAAAAAAAAAAAATTACTTTTTTTGGGTAAAAACACCCAAAAACTGGGTTTTACCGAGTTTTTCGGGTTTCTTGGGTCCGGGTCTTGACCGGGTTTTCCCGGGTCAGCCGAGTTTTTCCAGTTTTTAACCATTTTCGGGTTTTGAAAAAATCGAGCCGATTTTTTGTCCGGGTCACCGGGTTCCGGGTCAACCCGGCCGGGTCGGGTCGGTTTTTTAAACATAAGCAAATATGTGAAGGAAATTAGGGGTCGATGACTCGATATATTCCTAGTGTGATATAATAAAAATAGGTATAATAAAAAGGGGTAATTTTATTTTGTTATCTGAATAAGATTTTGCAGCCGTTTTTTAAAAGAAATAATTACATAAATATGACCAAAATAAAGATGATTTACAAAAATATGACTACTTACTAGAGTAGTAATGAAATCAGAGTAATTCATGTTCAAGTTTTGAACTTAAGTTACATTCAGTAGTCGAGTGCTGGATGACAGAGGTCCGAGGGTCCTTTGGGACGAGGACGAGGGCTTCGCCCTCAGGTGTTGAGGGCTCTTTCTTGAGGCTCGCCAGGAGATGGGAATGTTTTAAATCGATTCTCCTAGAGGCCCATTTTGTGAGTTGTTATGGCCCATGGCCCTCGATGGCCCACTTGAGGGGTGACCAGTTGCTTGTTTGGGCCCGTTGTGATAGTTGGGTATGTTGTATTAAGTGAGTGTGTGGACCTGAGGTCCCGGGCCATATGCTTCATCAATAACAATTATCTTCGTCATACCAGCTTCGAACACTCGACCTGCCACAAACAAGTTCTATATAGAGATGATACACACAACACTACCCCAAGATAATAGTAATGTTAACAACCAAAGTAACTACATTGAATATGGTTGTGCAATGTAGCCGAGAGTCGTGCCTGTCATGCATGTAATGTATTCTGATGGAGTATTATATTGGCTAACGTGCCCCCACATGCGAGCAGGGGGTGGTGCACGTCGAGACTAGACCAAAACTCTTCAAGTAAATATCATGGAAGGCCTTCAATGAAAGTGTCGGCGTATTGGTACTGTGAGGGAACATGGAGGGCTCAAATGTCACCACAGATGACCTTTTTCATGAACAAATTGGATGTCTATTTCGATATGTTTTGAACGTTGATGTTGAACCGAATATATGCTCATGTAGACGACGTTCATGTTATCACAATACACAATACTCTCTTTATGGAGAGGACAATGAAGCTCGAGAAGAATGTTATCACAGAGGAAAACACAACAATCATATGTCAAATGGCGGGTGATCACCCCAATCGGTGTCAAAGTAAGCAATAGGGGATGCGACTGGGGAAGTACGCATATGAAGAGCATAACTCATGGTACCACTAATATAATGCAAAATACGCTTAAAAGTATGGAAATGAAATACCGTGGAGTTATGCATGAAGAGGCAAATTTGTTGAACCACAATACCACACAGAAGATGTTAGGGCGGGTAAAGGCAAGATAATAAAGCGCACCGAAAAAACTCTTAAAGAGGGAGGGGAGGGATCCTCAATCAGATGACCAACAAAATTGAGCTTAGCCTAGTGTTGGTATGTGTGACGGTCATATTACATACAAACATGGTTCTAAAAACCGGCCTAGGTGATGGCCGGGTGCCCCGATTTCATGGTAATCGGCGGAAAAAATCGGTCGGCCGCCAAGGTGGGCGGCTAGGCGGCCGACTAGGCGAGCTAGGCGGTGTCTAGGCGGCCCAGGCTAAACTTGTTCCCGACCCAACTTATTGTTTTCTTTTTTCTTAAAACATCGTTTGATCAATAAGTATTTTATTCCTATAAAATTAACTATCATATTCCCACATTAAAAAAATTTAAATGTATATAAACTCTTTAGAATGTACAAGAACAATTATTTTTTAGAATGTTATCTTATTTATCTATTAATTATTTCATTTTTGAGATATTTAGAATGTATATGAACTCTTTAGAATGTACATGAACAATTATTTTTGAGAATGTATATACACTCTTTAGAATGTACATGAACAATTATTTTTGAGAATTTTATCTATTAATTATAAAGCAGAAATATCTTATTTATCTATTAATTATTTCATTTTTGAGAATTTTATTACAAAAACCATAACATTCAATGACTATATGGGCTATTTCTATTGTCAAAATATTATAAAATTATTAGTAAAGATTTTTTAAATTCATAGAAAATGAGATTTTTTTTTAAAAAATAGAGGAAATGCCTAGGTGCCCTAGGCGCTTGCATAGGAGGGTAGGCGGCCAGTCACCGCTCAACTAGTGCCTAATGCATTTTAAAACACTGCATAAAGTCATACCAACTCGATCAAGGATTTCAGAAGAATATTTCCTTTTTGATAAAAATAGAACCTCGACATGAGTGGTGACAGAGACACCCAAAAATAAGTGAGGGGATCAAGACCAGTCATTGAAAACTTGGCCCCAAGAATGGATATGATCAATTAGTGAATGGAGTCAGATGAGGGGTAAGTAAAATGTCGTCAACATACAAGAAAATGTAAGTCATCTATTTTCCATAATGATAGATGAAGTGGGAATGGTCTATTTTGCTATAAAAGAATCCAATATTGGCGACGAAAGAAGCAAAGCGGCCAAACACAGGGCTCACTTAATCCCGTACGGGGACTTAAGTAAGTGGAAAACATCATTAGGGCACGTGGAATTAATCCCAAAATTATGTGGTGTGTGCATAAAATAACTGAGTTCAAGGTGTTGTGCAAGAATGCATTTTTGATGCTGAGTTAATGGAGCAGCCAACCTTGAGAGAGTGCAAGAGTGATAACAGTATGGATAGTTGATTGTTTAACCATGAGGCTACACTTTCATCACAACCAATGCCAAGTTATAAAGACCATCAGTTGGCAGCAAATCTGGTTTTGTGTCGCTCAAAAGTCCTTTCGGACCTGAATTTATGTTTAAATAACGACATGCAATGAATAATATTAATTAACATTATACGGACGGGGGACCAACTCCCACATCTGGTTTAATGAGAACACTAAATTCATCATACATAACTGGTTTTCAATGAGGGTCATGAAGGGCATGTATGGGATTTTGGGTAGATGAGACGGTTTCAAGGTTGGTGTGGTGTGGACAGACATGTTGAACAAATGAAGAGGCCTATATGCGCCAACTGGCTGCGTATAAGGGATGGATAGAATTCGATGCCAGGGAGGGGGAGGAGGGATTTTTGGTTTACTAAGACCGAGAGGGAGTTGTTTAGTGACTGGAGAGTGAGGATAAGGGAGGGATCTCAAACATTTGGCGTGGAAGTGGGGGCTGAAACTATGTGCATGTGAGGAATGATGATCATGGGAGACATATCTATAGGAAGCTGATGCGAAAACATAACATGATGTAGCGTGCGTCATCCAGGAATGTTGATATGGAGGATGAGGATGGGGATTTAAATGAAAAAAATATATTGTAACACCGGGAAGATCCCATAATGATTGAAAGCATTACTCATCTCAACATGGTGCACTACTCATTAAACATGCTTGTACGAGAATAGTCTTAAAATGAGTGATCTTGTGGGAAGTCTCACAGGCCGCACACGGGTGAGAACAAAGTGTATGGTAAAAGCGTGTTGGTTTGTAATGATAGTATTGTGTCTATAGAGCACTTATGAGTAATGAACGGATTTGGACCCCGCGGGGTCCGAGTATTTGTATATTCATTAAAAGTCACATGACAAAATATAAGTGCTATATTTTTTGTGAGAGCCAAGCATTTATATCCTTTGTGGGTTGAGGGGTATCCAAGGAAAATACATGGTTTGGATCTAGTTAGCTTGGAGTTTTTGTGTTATTGTGGATGGAGTGTGTAGAAAACATAGGCAGACGAACACACGAAGATGGGAGAGTAAGAGGGGATAGTGTGGCAGAGAAGATGAGTGGGGGAGACATAAACGAACGGTTAAAGGGGAGCTAAGGATGTTATGGAGATAAAAGGACATTTAATTTGGGCGGCGTGAGGCCAGAGATTAGTGGGGGGAGCATGTAGAAGTAGAGTCTAGTTAATGCTCCGTATTATTAATGGTGCAAATATTACTTTCATATTTACCATCTTGTGGTGAGGTGTATGGACAAGGAAAGTGTAATTGCATGCTCGTGTGTCCACGGAACACATAATTGTTGTACCTTTTTCCTTATCACATTGATATATTTTAATACATCGTTCATATTGAGTTAAGACGAAATTATAAAACTTAATGGAGACGAAAAAGAATTAAATTTTGAAACGAATAGGATAAATTCACTAAAAACGGTGTAATCATAAAGAAACAAAAGATAGTAGTGGTGACCTGCAGATATTAATCATTGTGCATATCTAATGGGGAAGTGGTCAGAGAAGAAGAGGAAGTAAATGATAATTTATTATTTTTCCACATTTGAAAAGAACTAAACACTATAGCACTAACTTTATTACAATTCATTTGTTCCAAGTGGTTGGATCCCCAACCCCAAAACCATCTCACGCCCGCCCCGACAGAGCATATGAGATGTTGTAAATCATGAT